CCCCTGCCCTCACCCTACCAGCAGGAGTTCTCCAGGCCTCTGCCCTCCCCCACTCTTGGCTTTCCCTGCCCACTTGCCCCAAGCCAGCAGCCGCCTTTGTGCCACCCAGTGACCCAGCTGCACTTCTAGATTCTTCCATGCTCCCAACTTGTGCATTCGCTGGTGTGCCTGGAGTCTCGGCCCTGGGGCCCCTTAACCCAGCATGCCCACTGGGCAATGACACTGCCACCCCACTGTAGCGTTCCTTAACTTGCTCAGTGGCTTTCCTGTTAACCTCGTGGCCTTCGTGGGGCCTGGCCACGTCGTGAGACTCACCCCCAGTCCCCAGGTCTTCAGGCAGGCTACCAATGGGGCTGAGACCACAGAACAGTAACCAAGAAAGCAGAGGCCGCACATCCCCCCATGCTCCCCACGTTTTACCAAGTTCATCCTTAAAAAAAAAAAAAAAAAAAAAAAAAAAACCGACTCCATGGTACCATGTAATTTCTTCATTTCTGAAAATGCTGAGCGAAGGGCAGGAAGGAGCAAAGAGAAGTGGTTTTGCAGCCTTGATGGGAAGGCGGCTCCCTTGAGCTGCCCTGAGGCAGGGATGACAACTGAAGGCCTCCGCTGCAGCCCGCGGTCCCCCACCCATGTCTGGGAGGGGACAGCTGCCAGGGCGGCTGCTGATAGGATCACGGTGGCGCTGACATGCAGACCCCGGCGGCGACATCCCGAGTGCCCACCCCCCCTCACTCCTGCCTTTCTGTCAGCAGACAGGCCCCGCTCTGCTCTCCTTCCCGTCGGGCAGGCTGCTCCCAAGGTTTCCTTCAGAAACCCCAGCAGCCCCGCGCTCACAAACCAGGGCGCACGTCCCGCTGATGGCAGCGTTCTCCTCTCTCCCTAGAATTTCCTGCTCTTCGGTGCAGATGTTCGCTACGGCTGACGTGGCCGCGGGCGCCAGGAGGGGAGAGGTTGTCCGCACCTGCTCCTGACGTGCCCGTGGGGCAGAGGCTGCCTTTCTCCAGCCCTTGCACCAGAGGCCCTTGCAAATTTCTCCGAACTCAGATTCGGAAATGACCTCCATACAGGAACTGTGCTCCTTGAGAAAGCGTGGGATGTGTATTTCAGGGATTATGAGCGTCCTGCGAGGTCTGAGTCCCCCCTCCCCGCCCCCCAAAAAGCACTGCTTTCTCTGTGGAATTCTGTGTGATGGTGTTGTTTCTTGTTTCGTGTCCATTCTTTTGTTCAGCGTCTGTACCCAGCATGCTCTGCGGTGCTGACAGCACAGCCCCCGCACGCCCTTCTCAGTAGAAAGTCTCCTTCTCCCTTTTTGGGGACACCCCTCATGCCACACTTCCCACGAGTACTTAGAGTTTACTCAGTCCAAAGGGAGCGCATCTTGCCTCCTAAGTAAGGTCAGGCCGAGTGGATCCACCTGCTGGGCTGTTGTTTCCGCCACTGCCACACGGTGCCGCTGTTGAACAGCTATCCTGTGCAGCCTGTCGTCTTGACTACAACCTCCGGAGCCTGTTGCTCCTGTCACCACCACACGGTGTCGCTGTTGAACGGCTATCCTGCACAGCCTGTGTCCTCTTTGGCTCTGATGTGGCTCCCTTTTCCCAAGCTCTCCTGCTCAGCCGTTGACCCCAAAGCAGAACACGGGGCCAGGGCACAGATGCCATTAGAGGTGACAGTCACATCCTTAGCTGCAATAGCTCTCCCCCGTGACGTTCAGGGCTGGCACAGGCACCAGACCCCTAGCCCAGACTACCCTCGGGCCCTTGGTGAGTTTCCTTGGGGGCTCTGGGCCATTTCCCCTCGTGGCATACCAGCGGTGGCCATCTCGGGTCATTAGCCGGGTCCTGCTACCATTGACCGAGCAGTCCTGGAGGGCTCTTGCACTGTTGACATCTGGTCTGAGACCAGAAAGATGAGTTTGAAGCAGGCAGTGGGGTATGGGATGACATAAGCAGATTTAGTTTTTAAAATGTTTGCTTGTGACTCCTGAAAGCATTTGGAGGGGCAGGCAAGAGTGGAAGGAGGTGGGCACAAATTAGGAGTCAGACTTCATCCAGGCTGTTTTGTAAACATGGAGAGGAGCATTTGTAGTGAGGAGAAGCGGACAGAAGACTGTAAACATTTTTTGTTTTTAAAGAAAAATGCATATGCTCTGCTAACATCATTGATTCGCTGTTAAATGGAGGTGGGGATTCTGGGGCCGCACAGGGGCAGGGAGGGACACTGATCAAGCACAGCACACCAATGATTTCATTTAATCCTCAAGGCACTTTTCATCCGCCAAGGTGGGAATCACTCAATCCTTTTAGACTGAGTCACCCTCCCTGAATCACACAGCTGGCAAGTGGCAGAGCTGGGATTCCCCACCATCTGCCCTCGGAGCCCACACCCTGTCAAAATCTTGTCTGTTGGGGGCTTGGCGTATTTAAAGCAGGACTGCTGTGTTCAGTTGCATACGTTGCGTACTATAAAAAGGCACCAGGCTGAGAGAACAAAATCCTTCCTCTAATTTGTCCACCAAGAGGGTCCACATTTTTTTCTCTTTCCCATGGAGGCAGACTACGAACAGAAAAGCAGCCTGTGAGGCTGGAAGAAGGACTGTGAGTGGGAGTAGCAGCAGGACGAAACTGATGGCCTTCAGACTACTAGGGACTCTGGCTTGCCTTCCAAGAAAGTAAGGGGGGGGGGTCATTGGAGAGTTTGAGCAGGAAAGCAACAGAATCCAATTCACATTTCCAGAAGAGCCACCTGGCTTTGGTGGGGGGACAGTGCTGTTGAAGACGGGGAGCCCTGCCTCCCCCACCCTCACATCCTCCCCCACCACCTCTCTGAGGATAGTTGCCCCCCCCCCACACACACACACACACTGACCCTCTACTTTCTGACGTTCAGGCAGCCCCTGTCCCACTCTCTACAGGAAAAAAAAAATGCTGGAAAAAAAAAAAAGGTTAGGGTGGAAGAGAGCCAAAGCCTAAGAGACTCTTAAAAACTGAGAACAAACTGAGGGTTGATGGGGGGTGGGAGGGAGGGGAGGGTGGGTGACGGGTATTGAGGAGGGCACCTGTTGGGATGAGCACTGGGTGTTGTACGGAAACCAATTTGACAATAAACTTCATATATTAAAAAAAAAATGCCATTATTTCTTGGACCTAAAGATCGGTGAATGGAACACACCGAGCCCCACGGACGGCTCTCGAATGGGGGAAACAGGCAGTTGTCTGAGGTGTGATTTGAAGGGTATTCCCCACCACGCTCCAAATGATCCGCCGCACTGCCCCCAAAACCACTGTTTGATCAACGTCTCCCTGCAGGCTAAGCATTGGCCGCTCCAAATGATTGCTAAAGTGTAGGGTTTCTTTGGGGGGTGTTGGAAACGTTCTAAAGTTAGTTAGCGGTGCTGGTTGCACAACTGTTTGAACACGCTACAAGCCGCTGAACCGTCCGCTTGAATGGCGAATGTCACGGTGAAATATGTGTCAATAAAGCCACCAAAAAAAAAAAAAAATCGCCACTCCAGACTGCCTGAAAGCTCACCATTCAAGCAGCTTCCCTTCTGGGTTAAGCATTGCCCTTGGGGGTTCCTTTTGGAAATGGTGAGTTGTTAAATATGAAGGGAGGGTACCCTACTGGGGGAGGGAATGGGAAGGTGTCCCAGGGAGACGAACCACTATGTTCACCGTTTGCCACATCCCATTGGTGGCCACGGGTGGCCCTGCCTTGAGCCAGTGTCCTCAAACTTTAATCCTCATGGCCACATCCAAAGGTAGACGGCCGGGTGCAGGACGGAGGGCGTGCGAGGTTTAGACAGGCTACGTGGCCCTCTCGAGGTCGCTGAGCTCAGAGCCTGGTTTCAAACATCAACCCAGCCCCTCGTGGGTTGCGCAGCTTTCCAAATGTTACTTAACCCCTCTGATCCTTCTCTGAAAAGTAACAATGAAACCTTGCCCTCCTCTTTGGCGGGAGACGGTTGGGAGAAATCGGTGGTACAATTAGTAAGTTCACGGCATGGAGGTTTACAGCATGAGCTATGGTCCCGGACATGGTGGTTTCAAGTCCCAGTTCCGCCACTTCCCGCTGTGTGACCTTGGGCAATTAGCTGGCTGTGAGGACACAGGAGTCCCTACCTCACCGAGTTGTTATGAGAATCAAACATACGTGTGGCACGGGACCTGAGGAATAGAAATCAAAGCAAACTGAGGGGAGCCAGAGTGGCTCAGGCAGTTAAGTATCCGACTTCAGTTCAGGTCATGATCTCGCGGTCTGTGAGTTCGAGCCCCATGTCGGGCTCCGTGCTGACAGCTCAGAACCTGGAGCCTGCTTCCGATTCTGTGTCCCCCTTTCTCTCTGCCCCTCCCCTGCTCTCTCTCTCTCAAAAATAAACATTAAAAACATTTTTTTTTTAAGAAATCGAAATAAGCTGTAAAGATTAATAAACCCGGGAATTCTCCCTGTACTGTAAGGACTGTATCTGACGTGCCACAGTTGAATTCCTAATGCCTGCCCGACAGTTGGTGCTCAAGACTTATTACTAATTTTTTTTTCATGATCTAGGATTTGAATCCAGCTCCTTGTGACTCAAAGCCACCGTGTTATGATTTTCAAAGTATGATCTGGGCCTGCCTGCTTCGACAGGCTTAACCCCAAGCATCAGAACCATCAGCTGGCCAGAAATCTGGGTGCAGTGACGAACTCATGGTATGGCCAGTCCTTCTCCCTCTCTAGGCCTCAGTTTCCCCATCTGTAAAAGCCAGGGCCCTCTGGAAATCCAGGAAAGGAATCCACTAAGGTGGGTTCTGGCAAATACTAAAGAACCTTTCCCTGCTGAGAAATTTTCATTTTAACAGAAGCTCCTTAGGGTCCCCAAAGCTAACAAGACCCAGTGAAACGAGGCTACGGCTGGGATTTTTAGATGCCGCCGCAGTTGCAGAGGCAAAGGGAGGGCGGAGGGAGAGATGGGAGGATCCTCGGGCTCCTTAGAGTCCCCCTGGGGTGAGGGGCTACGAATCCACACGCTGCTGCTCCAGAGGGCCTCCCGGCAGCGCGAGTAGGCGACACAATTTTCAAATCACACTGGCTCATCACCGACCGTACTATTCTCTTCTGTAAATCTGAACGCCCAGATCTGCAGATGATGGGGCTGGGGAGGAGGCCGCCATAAATATCAGACTCTCCACTCCAAAGTACCCCGCAGAGATCCAGAACCACGGGCCTTTATAACATCGGTCTCTTCCAGCTAGAGCTGACGTTCTCAGGAGTGTGGGCCCTGCCACAGACAGCTCTGCATGAAATAGGAACGAACAGAGTTATGGAATCGCCGAGCCTGGAGGGAAATCGGAGCTGGTCTTAGTCCCTTGTTCTCAAAGCACAGTCTAAGGTGGGACCACCAGGGAGCTTGTTAGAAATGCGGAGTCTCAGGGGTGCCCGGCCGCCTCAGTCTATAGAGCATGCAGCTCTTGATCTGGGAGGTCGCGAGTTCGAGCCCCACCTTGCGTGTAGAGATTACTTTAAAAAAAATTAAAAATGAATAAAAAATAAAAACAGAAGAAGAAATGCAGAGTCTCAGGCCCTAGAGGAAACTGATGAAGCAGAATTGCATTTAACGAGATCCCTGGTATATATATACAACTTTTTAATCCATTCATCTGTTGGAGGATTAGATCGTTTCTGTGTCATGGCCGTTGTAAATAATGCTGCAGTGAACACGAGGGTGTAGACATCTCTTTGAGATCCTATTTTCGTCTCCTTTGAATATACACCCCAAAGTGGGATCGCTGTACATAGGGTAGTTCTATTTTTAATTTTTTGATTTTCCACAGTTGGAAAAAGTTACCTGTCGCAATTTGCATTCTTACCAACAGTGCACAGGGGTTCCTTTATCTCCACATCCAAAAGTTGTACATACACACACACACACACACACACACACACACACACACCCCACAATGGAATATTATTCATCCATGAGAGAGAAGGAGGTCCTGCCATTCGCAACAATGGCATTGTGCTAGGTGTAATTAGACAGAGAAAGACAAATACTATATGATATTACTGATATGTGGAGTCTAAAAAAGCCAAACTCAGGTCATGATCTCACAGTCTGTGGGTTCGAGCCCTGCATTGGGCTCTGGGCTGACAGCTCAGAGCCTGGAGCCTGCTTCCGATTCTGGGTCTCCCTCTCTCTG